ATGTGTATGGCATCAGAAATGCAACTTTGAAACTGGCGCTCATCTTAACTGGTGTACATCAAAGTATGCTTGAATTAACAGGATATTTCCATTGATAATCAAATCACTAAAGAATATGAATGTAAAATTAAAATTAAAAGTCAAATAGAATATAGTGATGACAGTATAACAATGACTAAAAGAATAAAAGGCGCCATTTTTATCTACTGTCTTGCAGTAACTTAGTGGTCTCATACTTAATACATTAGTCATCACATAAAATGCATGCCAATTTCTTGCATGCATTCAAGTGTTTATCCATAGCAATATTAACGACTTTGCTTAGTGATACACCCCTCGGTCCTTCGGAATAAGACAAAGTCTTTTTGAAGTAGCTCAGGAAAGATAAATCTGACTGTTCATGTGGAACCAGTGACATATGCCGTACATTTAGACGTATTTGTCATCGAATTTCCGAACACGTAATCCCGTGTGGTTAAGTAAGGGATAAACAAAGTCCATTCATATTTCTATACTGCCTCATCTCGTAGATACAGAACACAAAATTGATGTAAACAAGGCCTTCAAAGTCATCTACCGTATACCAACTAATCTCGATTTTACCTGAAGAGTTCGTCTACTACATTTTGCTCAGGCTATTGAAATCTAAAATTTATGTACCCAAAAGAATGCTTAATTTTTTGTAGAAATTTCCTTAATTTTATTTGATATTCAATTTACCAGTAAATTTTGATGCTTATTATAACTTAAGCGTCTTTCTTGAACTATAATTTCATTGATCTTAACAAATCGATATTAGAAAAAACAAAAAAAATTGAGCAAAGAATATCCTGTTCGATAAATTCCTCTACTGACTATACAGTTATATATATACGCTGACATACATAGAATATTCTAGAAAAGACGTTAGTAAAAATATTGGTGTTTTTTAAATACTACCCATTCGTTAAGTAAGATCAATGGAATTACAGTTCACTAAAGATGCATAAACTATAACAAGCATAAAAATACAATAGCAAATAGAATATCAAATAAAATTAGAGATATTTCCATAATAAGAGTTTTTTTTTCCTTCACGTTCCCCAGTGGAACATAGGGCTTCAAGCTAGTGGCTTGAAGTTTCTATAGCAGTGTTTATTTTACAGGATGGGGTTGCTAGCCTCATGCCCAACCTTTCCTCTTCACCAGCATTATTTCTGGCTTAGCGTCGGCCGGGGATCTAACCCCGGACCATGTGCATGGTTGGCGAACGTCCTAACCGCTATGCCACCGATACACTTTCCATAATAAAATGAGGCTTATTAAACATTGATGGCCAAGGTAACAACAGTGTCTGAACAAGCTTCTTTTCGACACATAAATTAGGTTTATGAATGTTGATCCAAAAGGCCTGAGCAATATGTAGAAGACGAAATCTTAAGGCGAAGTTAAGACTTGTTGGTATGCGGTAAATGACTTTGAAAGCCGCGTCGTTAACATCAATCTTGTGTTCTGTATCCACAAAATGAAACAGAATAGAGACATGAATGAATTTGTTTGTCCTTTACCTTACCACGCAGTGTGATGTTCAGAAATCTGACGAGAAACACGCCGAATTGTAGGGCCTATGTAACTGGCTCTACAAGAGCAGTTAAATTGGTAGATACAAATAGAAGAGGAGAAATTAGGCAGCTTACCTTTTACTCTCGAACGCAGAAGACACAGCGTTATTTAGCAGCAGGGCATGCTCTTTTTACTGTCTTTCTAAGGCGTTGTGTTAATGTCTCACTGATATTATCCCCGAGGAAGTGAAGTTGTAAGAATAGGGCCTTTTTCGGAACTCTTGGTACCTTGAGGTGCCTTGATTTTTGATTAATATTCTTTTCTATGAATTTTTCTGGATAACCGCTCCAACTCGGCAACTGCTTAATATTTAAATGACACCAATACTGTTAATGACGATTTTTCTAGAATTTTCTATATGTATATATATAATTGTATAGTTGGAAGAGGAAATTATCGAAAAGAATATTCTTTACTCAAATTTTCTTTTGTCCCCTAAAAGAACAATCGGTAAAATGCAAAAATTTACCAATAGTGTAAGTAGCGACTAAATGACACCAGACTGTCTTAACCTCCTTATGTAGAAGGTTAGGCGAAATATCTTTCTAGAAATTAACATGACATGGAAAGACCAGGAAAGATCAGAGGAAATACACAATCGAAGGTATTTAACATTTGACATTTGAACAATCCGATTAAGAAGTAATTGACTTGGAAACAGTCAGACCATCAGCATACTTATCAGAATTAGCTTCATCAGAATGATGTAAGTCATGTAAACACAAAGCAAACAGAGAAGAAGAAGAAAGAACAGTACTTTGATGGACACCAGTTTACAGTGTACTACCTTCTGTATGAATAACAAGGATGTAACCATTTACCAATCTAGCATCTATTTAGTGTTACATCAACATAAGAGACCTACATACAGAGTCAAAGGCAGATGTCTAGGGTTAGGTTGGCATGCCGGGCACATTTAGCCTCTTTTTATCTAAACTGGAGACAATATTATGATGTGCAACAACAATAGAGACTAAAGTAGGTCTACCATGTTTGTAAACAGATTGTGATGGATCGGTAAAAGCCTTCAATGAAGCTTCAAGGTTAAAAATGTTTCTGTTGCTTTTACTTTATTCCTCCTAATACGCTGGTATATTGATTGCCTTTGGTGTTACTACTAGTTTTAGTGGATGAGGAAGGATGGAGCATTAGTCTAAGAGGAAACTTAGACATAATGAGCCACCTTCCAGTTATAACAACGTGGGTAACGGAGGTACACCATCACACCTCCACATAACCCAGCTCGTAATAGTGAGTCGTAAAAAAAAACTAAATAAATAAATAAAATTAAAATAAAAAATAAAAAAGATACGTATAAATAAACGATGTTGAAAAAAAAAATTAAAAAAAAATCGCACCAAGGCACCAGCGTTATTCCTTCTTATATTCCATCTTACTCCATTGATCGTGTACATAGTGCTCATAAATTGCCTTAATTTTTTTTCCTTCATTCTTTCCTTTCTCAATATATATATATTTAAAAAAAAAAGAAAAACAGATATTTTATTACTATCTTCACATTTTCTTGTTCATTCACCGTGATTGTACGCCACCTTGTTACTTTTATATATCGAAGCTTGCTGTTATCCCACCAACCTTCTAAGGGGGGGATAACCTGTAGTGTACATTGTACCTTTGAACTTTTGTTTGAATGAATGCAACCTGACATGTTTAACTTCATTTCCACTTCCGCTTTGTACTCCGGTTCCTCCTGTACGGTTACTGTCTCGCTCTCTCGCTGTACTTTCACCTAGTACACTCTACGAGCCGACAACCGTCTCATCTCCAGATAAGTGTGTATTTTTTATTTCTTATCAAATTGCGTATCTCGTTGTGTAAATATAATTCCGGTCCAGTTAAACTTGGCATTTCGAGTCTTCTAACTTCGATTCCGTTTCTTTAGTACTTGCAAGTAGGCAGAGTACTAATTAAGGTTATAAACGGTGAAGGAGTTTTGTAAGAGTGGTTATTGTCAGGTAGAAGTAAACCCTAAGTCTAACTCTTACAATGTTATAGTAATAAGTCGAAACTTAATGCATGGTCCACAAAATCATTTAGGCACGGGAACAGCTTTAATGCAATTTCAAGACAGTGAATCAATCAGCAAATATGGATAATTCTGAGATGAAATGTACATCCTAGTTTCCAAACCAAAATAGCACCATTAGATTATGGATAATATTTACTTGATAAAGTCACACAGTGTTATCTACTAGTATATTTATTCATGATCACTAATCGAGCACAATTTATTGCCGCTCATAATCATATCAAATTACTCACACAACTTTCCAACTTCGTTTATATAGTTCCATTATTTTCCATCGCCTGATTTGATTGGTAGTAGTATTTTCCATATTTCTGGTGTGAATGATGAGTCATTCCTATTGCACATACTAGATATAGATTCGATGAACAAAGGTCCAGTAATCAACCTCTCTCTCCACCTTCCTATATTACTTTTTAGAATTTTAACTCTGTCCCACCCTATTGTCTGGTTGTTTGTTAATGCAAGCAGTGCTATAGATGAGTTTTTTTCTAAATTACTATTACTCAATAATAGACCACTATATATTTTTGTAAGTATAAATACGATTGTACAGCCTCTGAAGATGATTTCGTCGATAAACTAAATTATTTATCTTTACGGGCGGGTTCAACCATTCTAACCTTAGCTACATTCTTATATTCTGATAATCTGGCTACCCCTGATCTACTGGTCTGACTGACCTATATACTTGACTTAACTCACAGCCATTACAAGATATTTTGTAAATAATATTATTTTGTCTAAATGGGTCAGCTGACAGGTTCTTTTAACCTACGGAGCTTGTCCTACCTGAGTGAGTTAGTAGGTTTAAATGCCACCCTAATTCCTGCTGTATTAAGAATCCCACGCAGAGTCACAAATTTCCCTTCTTTTTTAACCATATAAGAGAGTAGGTAGGTAGGTAGGCAGGCAGAGAGAGAGATGTTGATTACTGGCCCTTTGTTCATAGAATCTGCACACAACATGGCGCATCAGCAATACCAGAAATATAGAAAGTATTACTACCAATCAGATCAAGTGATGAAAAATAGTGGAGTCATATCAATGAAGTGGGAAATCTGTGTAAGCGCCTTGATATGATTATGAGCAGTGATAAATTGTGCTTGAAACGTGGTCATCAGTAAATATTACTGCATAACACTATTTGATTTTATCAAAATAAATTTTATCCACAATGGAATTATACTCTGCACTACAATGCACAAGTCCTATTCTTGTATCAAAATAGAATCAGTTTATTTTTAATATTATACTGAAAAAAATTTGAGTGAAACTTTAAACTTTCTTGTTTTCCTTACTTTCTTTCTTTGTGCCCTTTTTTCTCTCCCACTTTTTTGCGCTTAAATAGCACTTGATTTAATTGTTGATGCAATTGTCGAAGCTGGTTATGTTGGTAAAATTGTTATTGGAATAGATGTTGCAGCATCTGAAATGTATTCATCTAAAAATGATAAAAAGTATAATTTTGACTTTAAAGAATCTTGTTCCCAGGATCAAACACATTTTCTTACTGGAGATAAATTATTAGACTACTATACAAATTTATCAATACGTTATCCATTAGTTAGTATTGAAGATCCATTCGATCAAGATGATTGGGATAATTGGATTAAATTACGTTCACGTTTACCAATACAAGTAAGTATGATTTGTTTTTTGTTTTGTTTTATCTATTCGCAGCGCTATTCTGTCTCATCTTGTGGAGACAGAACACAAGATTGACGTTAATCATGCTTTCAGGGTCATTTACCGCATACCTACGAATCTTAATTTTGCCTTAAGAGTTCGATTACTAAATATTGCTGAGGCTGTAGGGATCCATATTAACAAGCTTAATTTATGCACCTAAAAGAAGTTAGTTCAGTCATTATCATTACCTTGGCCATCCAGGTTTGAGTAATCCAGAATTTTTGTGGAATTTCCCTAATTTTAGTTGATATTCTATTCGCTATTATATCTTTATTATTATTATTATTATTTAAGCACCCTTAATGAACTGTAATTGCATTGATCATACTTTACAAATCGATATTATTTAAAAACACTAATATTGTTATTGACTACTAATTTAAAATATTCTGTCTATATAAACATATATATATATAATTGTAGAGCCGGAAGAGGAATTTATCGAAAAGAATATTCTTTGCTCGATTATTTTGTGTTTTATAGATGTCTGAATGAATATTTTTGCTATAATTGTATTCTATTGTGGAGGGAATCAGGAGGACACTCTGGACATGAGTTTCGTGCTTTTTGGTACTCGTCAGTAAGGTGTATCTTCAGTCTTAAAAGAGCTGATATCGCCTCTGAGTTCCTAGGCCAGATCATCGACTGCTGCGGTCACGGATGTTACGACTGTGCCACTAAGGCCAGTGGCTGACCTTCTGTATGTGACAGTAATGGATAACACGTTCGGATACTCGATAGTAACTAATGTCAAGCACCTTATCCTTGATGTTGAATTCTCTCTGTCAAATATGCAATGTGACCACCACATGAGGTGGCTTACAATTGTTGTTATTACATGGTGGGAGTCAATCGACAGAAGCCTACCTACTGTTCAATCAAATATACTACTGTTTGGATGAATAGGAAATATAAAAGACGGTTTTACTGAAGAAGAAGAAGTTTACGTTACTACTAAGTCGAGCGACAAGACATATCTCATTGGTCTATATTGGCATGTATATATAAGTTCATTTCCCAATATGAAGATGAATGCCTGCCATGCGTCCACTTGTAAAACGCGCTCTTGGACACTGTCTAACCTGATCAACAAAAGAGAGTGGAATTCCATCTTTCGTTTGATAAAAAATATTCTAAACTCAAGATACCTAGTTCCATTTGGGGAATCTTTCAAAATCCTATACAAGATCCAATCAAATCTCTGAAAACGGGTGAAATGAAGATGTATGGACATAACCTAATCATTAGGAATCCGTACGACGTTTGACTACCATAAGCAAAGTCAGGGTCTGTCAAATGTTGACCTTAGAAGACCAATCAGGCTCAGAGAACGATGCGGAAGGTTCTTCCAAATCGAAATCATACCATCCTTTACAAATTTGGTTAGTGAATTTCATGGAGATCGAGTATTTAACTTCTGTGTGTATGTGAAAGAAGACTATAACAGTAAGGCAGTACAACCTTGTAGGAGATAAATATTGCTATAGATGAAACGCATGCTATAAGAGAAAGTCGTTTCTTGAGGGTAATATGGCGAGTGCTACTAATAAGATTTATTACTAGAGTATATAAAGAGAAGTTCATCGGCACAAAAACATCAAATAGCAAGGAGATAGACGATTTGATATCAGAGAAAACAAATGATACAACGTTGCGAAGATACATGGGAGATGTGAAAGGAACACAAAGAAACACAGCATGAAGGCTAGTATTAGCACAATACAAAGATCTGTGTAAATGGTGCCTTGATGATAAGGTGTACATAATTTGATTATATAGAGATACGAAACTGCAAAAAGAAATATTCCATTTCAAAGTCTTTCGTCTCCTACCGTTACACTATCATCTTCTGTTTGATTACTCTCACTACTGTTTATTATTTTTCTTCTGTGTGGTTCTGTCTTCATTTCTATACAGGTGACATGTAAATATTATTATTTATTATTGTTTCATTTAATTCCTACAGGAACATAGGGCTTCAGCCACACGTCTCCATTGCGTTCGGTTCTCTGCTAGAGTCTTCACCTGGCTCCAAGTCAACCTGCCCACACGTTTTCATCTTTTCTTCACATGACCTCTTCCAAGTCGCCCTTGCACTGACGACCAACTCACCGCTTCCCTTTTGGGTTCCACTCGAGTGATGGCCTGGCGTGTGATGTCACTTGATGGCTGGTTTCCTCAGAGTATGGCCAGCCAATCCACCTCCATTTCTTCCTGCCTATTTGTTTCACAATCGGTTCATGCTGTGTTGGTTCGCTCCCAGAGATCTCTATTGCTGATCTTTTCTGGCCATCTGATCTTGAGATGGCATGTAAATATGTGAGACATGTAAATATGAATGTAAATGAAATATGACAACTTTGGTCATTATATGCTGACAATGACTTACTAAATGTTTGATTGATTGTCTGATTGAGAGATAGATAGACAGACAGACAGACTGATTAATTAATTGACTAATTAACTAACTGCCTGACTGACTGACTGAGAAGGCTGTCTGGTCAACTAACCAACTCATATCTGAAAGTAGTTAGAGAAGGAACCTACAGTATACATTTTTCAGAAGACAAAAATATTGAGCAGAGAATATTCTTTTCGACAAATTGCTCAGTTATATTATAACATAATATTTCAAGCGTAATTATAATTCACGACGCTGATGTTTCTTACATAATATAGAGGTGTTAAGATCAATAGTATTACATTTCAAAAGCATGTGTAATTGATAATATGTAGAAATATAAATTGAATATCATATAAAATTAAGACGAAAATTAATACAGCATAAGGGAGTAGAATAATAACAGAGTTAAAACAATAACAGCTTGTAAAAGGTTAAGGGGGAAAGCCGAAATTGTCAGATTTATAACGATCAAGTAATGATGGTCAGTTGTGTAGAAAGTGATTGTACAAACTGCATAAAAAAAACACAAGTTCGACTTCTTCAACTACATTCTGATGTCGTCAGTTGTGAACAGAAAGCAAACTTGTAAGACAAAATGAAGATTTCATACATTTATTCCCCTTAATGATTTTGAACAAAGCAAGAACTACAATTTTAGCAGAATAAAATGGTAACATCTTTTATATCGTTGCCTTCTCGACAGCTGCTTACAGGGCAAAGACATTATTAAATGTATCTACAAAAACAATTTTAACATACTTGCACATAGTTCATTTTAAACAAAAATCAGTCGGTCAATATACGCATATACTAATAATATATACATATATATATGCAATATTAAACACTATTCTGAACAATAATAATCATACACAATGAAAACTTTTCAGCATCTCGCATTAGGATGAAAAATATCTAGTTACCACGGCAAAGAAAGACTGATAACCGCTTCTTTCTGAAAGCACAAATCAGGTTTCAGGCGCTTGATGGAAATGGCTTCAACAAACTTAAGGAGAATTGAGCTCTTTTGCTTATTGATAATTTAGAACGACTTTTCGACGTCCACCTCATGACCCGTGTCGAGGAGATGCCTGGCGATGGCACTGTTTATTGCATATATATGTACATATTATTAGTGTATGCGTATATTGATGGATTGATTTTTGTTTAAAATGAACTATGTGCAAGTATGTTAAAATTGTTTTTGTAGATACATTTAATAATGTCTTTGCCCTGTAAGCAGCTGTCGAGAAGGCAACGAAATCAATGATGGTACCATTTTATTCTGCTAAAACTGTAGTTTTTGCTTTGTTCAAAATGAAGATTAGTAGAAAATATACACTAGATAACTTTAAATGCCTTGTTAACATTAACTTTCACTGATATTGCACCAAAGATAGATGGTTCCAAAAAAGGTGCTTCTTCAGGGCTGTTGATATACTAGTCTATCTTGGCGTTAAATTCATTGTTTTTTAATCAATAAACTTTTCTGGATATCCGTTTATCTAATCATCTTGAGTTCTTCAATAAGACATTCGTTAGATAAGAATATTTTAGATCTGTGAACTAAACACTAAATCCCTTTTAAATTTCAAAGATACAAACCTAAAAAATGAGTGTATCGGCAAAACTATGTAGGATATATATATATATATATTCAAGTACTGATTTGTAAGGATTTGATTGATTGGTTACAGGATTTCATCATGAGGTGACATTGGTTAGAGAACCACTAAAAAACCTGGGAGTACTGGACAGCTGTTTCGTCCTAGTTTGGGACTCTTCATCAGTGTGCACCCACACTGCAGGATTGGAACCCAGAACCCTCCGGGTCCCAGTGGCTTAATGGTCTACGAGCCCTCCGATCTTGTAACCAGAAGCTCGTGGGTTTGATCCCTGGAGGTGGGTGCGTACTGCTGAAGAGTCCCAAACTAGTCTGATGAAACATCTGTCCAGTACTCTCAGGTTTCCAAGTGGTTCTCTAACTGATGTCACCTCATGATGTAATCCTGTAACCAATATATATATTATATATATTTATATATACATACTTTTAAGTTTTATATCCTCTTTCTCAGTCATAAGGATGTCTAGAAATGAACTGTTAGCATTTCTTTCTTTCTTGATGGTAAACTTCACGACTGGATGCAGATAAATAAATTTGTGAAGGATGTGCATTCCTTCATCCTCAGTGTTTCATAATCCAAAATGTGTCAACCATGTAAAATAATTGAATTCTGGTTCAGCAATTACACATTTCAAAGATCGTTTCTCTAATTTCCCTGGAAAATATTAGCTAGGATTGGTGCCTCCATAGTCGCACCAGTTTTTCTGTTGAATTCGTTAAATAAAAAATGAATACTCACTATATATCTTAAAAGAAGTTCCTTCATAGAAGGTATAGAAATGCCAATGTCAGTGTTTTGTTCTTCACATATAAAATCTACTCTTTCAATCAGTGGTACATAAGACGATACCATAAATTTATTGTTCTCATTTAAATCTCTTATCCCTTGAACAAATTCAAATGTGTCCTGTACACTGT